CCAAGATTTTATTTGTAATTGTCGAAATTCTTCTGGTTGATCAGAACGATAAAGTACTGTATCCCAATCAAGAAAATGCATTAATTTTTCAATAAGTTGAATTTTAGTTAATTTTAATGGATTATCAATTAATGTATTCATTAATGAATTTAAATGCATTGATGAGAAATCAATTTTTTTAAATTGTTGACTCCATTCTTGTGCAAGTGCGAATGCAAGAAATTCATTTTCAATTTTTATTATATTTCCTAATGGTGTTTTTAATTTACGTTGATCAAGTAATATTTCATATTTTATTGGTATATGTGATGATTCAACAACTGATACTTGTTTATAAAAACGTTTTTTATCACGATTTGTTAAACCAAAATTTGTTGATGTTGAATTAAAACATAAACGTATTATTGATGGATTTAAACGAGGAAATAAAAAACGATTCATCTGAAATAATTTTTATTTATAGTAAATATAAGATGAAAAAGAAAAATGTTTAACATAGATTATAGATTAAAATTTTACAAAGGTATTCAAATGTTAAATATGATGTTCGGATAAAATTTACATTTAAGATAAGTTCATATGTATATAATCATTTATAATTTATACTTCGACTGTTTACGGTATCAAAAATAATCGAAGTCATTGATATATATATGCATCCAATGGTTTACAGACAATTGCTATACGTCAATCTTAACTAATATTTGTACTCCATAAAAATAGAAGATTCATATACTCAAGTAGGTTTACTAATGTCATGAATCTGTGTGAATAGAGCAATAAAACCATGAGTATTATGTTCATTGAAATAGAGATAATATCGTTGAAACTAACTATTAATTAATCCTCCAAAGGTAAGGTGTAGTTTTGGACCCAGAGAAAAACGTAATGAATAAATGGATATGTCCATCCAATGACCAATTAAAAATAATCGATTGTTGCGCTTTGTGTCAACGATTAAAATCGTATAGATGTCACTATTGTATGGTTTAGAATTTGCATAGAGTCATAGTTAATAAATATGTGATAAATGAATATTTTTTTTTAAATAATAATTGTGTTCATCTTTTTTCGTTTACTTCGAAAAAAAACTTGTGCAACAGAAAATTGTTCGAACTACAATAATTAATAAACAGTCATGTGCCAAGAGTACTATTAAATTGTTTCTCTTATGTTGAATCAAAAGTTATTCATTGGGGAATCAGCTTAGGATCATATGTCAATAGATAGATCAAAATTACAATATAATTTCATTAATTCTAGTCTATATTTTAATGAAATTCTTTGACTTATTATGCTGATTAAAAAGCTGTTAGTGCAATTCATGCAGAATAAATAATGTCAAAGATGTTGTGGCTACTCTTGATAATCAATGGGAGATTGTTTTATTCTACCTGTTTTTTGGGATATATTTCTTCATCATTTTTTAATTTAATCTCCCAGAAATGAAATAAGAAAGTAGTTCATAACGAGACATTATTGATATATGGTTTTTCCACCTATATTTCAACACTCTTTTTAGATCGTATTTCACAGTAAAATGAAATATTAGTCATCTCTGTATTTTAATGCGAGTGTTAGAAGTTAATAGCTTCGACATATGAGAATCACTTATTCAACTGTTTTTCGAAGATCTGAAAATCAGTATATGAGATACATTCAAATATAAAAATTCTATTTAATAATTCTTATTCTGTTGGAATAAAATTTACTGATTGTTAAAGGTGTCAAGGGAAAAAACTCAGTCATATTTATTTGGTATAATTTAAAAGTTAAAAGTATTCTATTTCATAAGTACTAAGCACCATCCCAATTAATTCTACATCTTGAATTACAACATAATGCTACCAGCTTTTGTTGCATGGATTAATAGTAATGATACCAGAATTTCAAAAACAATTAAAGTTCGAAGAGATGAATGCATAATTAATATTGACAAAACATAAAATAAATAAATATTTGCATGTGTTTTACTACCTAAGTAATGAGTGTCTTATCTTATGTTATTCTGCTTCACATGAATTTTGCTTTCATCATTCTCACATTAGCGGAATATACATGGTGATAATAAGCACATTGTCAAGAATGTGAGAATCACGGTTTTTTTATCAATCAGAATAATAAAGCATGCACTCCAGTGAGTATGAGGTTTTTTTTGTACTTAAAGAATAGATCATGAAAATAGGAATGAATAAATATCTGTGAGCATAAAATTAAATCACATAAATTATTAATTCTTATATAATTGATTTAAAAGTTTTTACTTGAATTTTCTTCTATGTGAATTTATAAATAAAATCATTCGATAGAACTTCATGCTAAATAAGTAACCAACGTACATATGAATATCGTAGCGAAAATATCTATATCATCAAAGATTTCAATAAAATTAAAATATAAAAACTAATATTGAGCATGTCTTCTTGTCAATGTAATTAAACAATGTATTCATCGACATCATGATTTCTAATAAATATACAAAGAAACAAAAGGAAATTAAAATAGAAAATAATAATTAATGAATTGAGTATTTCAAATTATATGATTCTGATTGATTGAAAGCTAAAAGGCAAACTATCTCTGCATTCATTCATAAAACATGCTAATCATGGACTATTATTGTCTAAAAGCTTAACACACACTATTATTTACTTAGAATAATTATTTTATTATTATAAAAAAAAGAAAAAAGATAATGAATACATGAATTACAAAGCTTCTACGTACACCGCAGCGTCTGGACAAACGACTTGGAGAACATCTATGTTTACAAGATTCTTTCGCTGAAGTCTTGACAGACGCTGTGATCCATGCTTCTGCTAAATGTAAAATTTTTTCGATTATGAATGAGATAGTTTACAAATCCAAAAATATTCGCGAGACAGTAGACATTTGTAGCTGCATATAGAGGAGAAAACAACCAAAACCGGAGACGGCAGACATTGTGCAGGAAACAAATCACTGTAATTACGTGCAAGTACAAAGTATGCGTAGTTGTACTACCAAAAATATACTGGTACTTGGTGTTTTTAGTTAAAAAATACGAAAAGTACCAAGTACTGTGCTAAATATTAAACGCAACTACACCTACATTCATACCTTCGCCCATGTTATGCGTTTTTCTTGCTTCCTCGTAAATATCAAGGAAAGAATTTAATGAATTGTTTAAATTATCTGGACAAGAACTGATTGACAAATTTAATTTATTTTGTACTATATTTCAGTGCTATTTTATATGAATATATCAAATAGAAGAAAAGAAAAGAAAAGAAAACAGTCGAACAACTAACGGATCTACTGTTCATCTTGTATTATGTTCAATGTTAGGTATCTTAGAAGAAGTCAACTTATCGTATTAGTAATAAATGATGTTGTTTGTATGAGAACATTTTTGACTAATTTTTAAGTATTTTGTAACGACAACTCATTTGATAATTAATTATTATCTAATGATATTATAAAAATTGAAAGCACATATAAAAGAAAAATATCTTAAGATATATACTCTATTACAACTTAATATAACTGCGGGTTGCAACAAATATTTATTTTTATTGGAAATAAAGAATCTTGTTTAAACTTACGACCTATCGTGTAGACATATTCTTTTTGAAAAATATTGCTCCAACACGAATTAGATTATTTCTGAAGAAGAAAAGCATTATGGCGTCTTCGTTTTCACGTCTAATCAGCAATATTCACACAGTTGAATGCCAGTATTTTGTCAGTAATTTATGATCACCTCTTTTTTCGTTCTCAACGCAAAAAATAAAAAAACAAAACACTGGTACTGAAAAAAGTAATTTGCTCCGTTCTGGAACCCATGAAACAAAAATGCAGTGAATCCTCTGGCTTCTATTCTTTTGCTCATAGGTAAAAAAAAAAATATTTATTTTGGCAACATCTCTGAGTTTCCTTTTCTTTCTTGACTCGTTCTTTCTGTGAAATTCTATTATGTGAACAAACTTCGCTCATTTTTTAGACGATCACTTCTGACAGAAAATTAAATTCACATCTATTACACTGAATTTTTATTCGATAAATAATAACAGACATATTTGTTTTACCAGTCTTTCTCGTTTAATTGTAATATGTGATTCTCCGTTTTTTTGGATATCTCAATATTTGGTTACGCATTTTTCATTTCAGAAAGCAAAGTGCTGTGATATCGCAGATCAACGAAAAATTTTTTTCTTCAAAAAAAAACAAAGAATGGTTCATAT